TTGGACCGGATGGTTAGGCTTTACTATTTTATTTACAAATAAACATATTATCTCTAATATCCTTAAATTTTATTATTAAAAATAAATATGCTATCTCTCATAATTGTGTAGGTATAAGAATTGGGGAGGGAAAAATCCTTACAGAACAGCCGAAGATGTTGCATTTGCTGTTGCAAGGTTCTTTCAAAGAGGAGGAACTTTTCAGAATTACTACATGGTAAAAAAAATTTAATGATGAAACTTTTAATATATGCTTAAGTATTAATGATTAATCACACAGATTAGTTTACGATAATAACAATTCATTGAATGTTTTACCTTTTTGGTAGTATCATGGAGGCACCAACTTTGACAGAACCTCAGGTGGTCCATATATCACAACTTCATATGATTACGATGCTCCTCTTGATGAATTCGGTAAGTGTAACTCATATTCACATTTTTTTTAGAGTTCTAATAAGCGATTTTAAGTAATAATACCATGATGGATATCTATTAGGTAATTTGAACCAACCAAAATACGGACACTTGAAACAACTTCATGATGTTCTTCACTCTATGGAGAAAACTCTCACCCACGGGAATATATCTACCATTGACTTTGGAAACCTAGCTACGGTAATATTCTCATTACTTTTCTGTTTTTTTTTTTAGTTAACCAGTATTTATTTGTTCTTGAACTTACATATGAACAAATACTATATAGGCAACGGTTTACAAAACAGAAGAAGGATCAAGCTGCTTCTTTGGAAACGTAAATGAAACTTCAGATGCAATAATCAGTTTCCAAGGATCTTCTTACGTTGTCCCTCCTTGGTCCGTTAGCATTTTACCGGATTGCAAAACTGAGACTTACAATACCGCTAAGGTTTGTCTCAAATTTTAAATGGTATCATTACATATATAAGAATTATCATTATAACATTAGTAGTTGTAATATTTATGCATTTTTTGTGTGTTTTTAAAATTTTAGGTTACCACTCAAACTTCGGTGATGGTTAAAAAACCAAATGAAGCTGAGGATGAGCCTACAACTCTTAAATGGTCATGGAGACCAGAGAACATGGACAGTTTTCTTTTGAAAGGAAAAGGAGAATCTACAATGAGACAATTGTTTGATCAGAAAGTAGTAAGCAATGACCAAAGTGATTACCTTTGGTACATGACTACCGTTGATCTCAAAGAGAAAGATCCAGTTTGGGGCAAAAACATGTCTCTTCGTATCAACAGTACTGCTCATGTTCTTCACGCTTTTGTCAATGGACAACATATTGGTAAGTAGAATGATATATATGTTTCTCAACAGCACTAGGTCATTAGAATAAAAAACAAAAATTAAACCATTTTTGTTGTTTAATTTAGGTAATTATCGCGCGGAGAATGGAAAGTTTCATTACGTTTTTGAGCAAGACGCAAAATTTAACGTCGGTGCTAATGTCATTTCTCTGCTTAGCATAACCGTAGGCCTTCCGGTGAGTTTGAAATCTGAATGTGTTAATTTTTTTATGTTGAAACCATTCTTTTGAATGCTAATTTTTAATTAACCTAATTTTGTCTTTTTATTTTTAGAACTATGGTGCTTTCTTCGAAAACGTACCGGCCGGAATCACAGGACCGGTTTTTATAATTGGAAGAAATGGTGATGAAACCATTACAAAGGACTTGTCTGGTCATAAATGGAGCTATAAAACCGGTTTAAACGGGTTTGAGAACCAACTCTTCAGTGCACAGTCACCTTCCACATGGTCAGGTGAAAGCGTACCGTTCAACCGAACCATGACTTGGTACAAGGTATGTATAATATTATTAACGTTAACAACTAACAAATAATACATGTATAGTTTCAATTTCAAATTGTATAATGTCAATAATTGTTATACAGACTACTTTCAAGGCTCCTTTGGGAAATGAACCAGTTGCTGTCGATCTCTTGGGACTTGGAAAAGGTACGGCTTGGATCAATGGCAACAACATTGGACGTTACTGGCCAGCTTTTCTTTCAAGTGAAGATGGTTGTGCCGCCGAATGTAATTATAGAGGGACTTACTATGCTGAAAAGTGTCAAACCAATTGTGGAGAACCTACTCAAAGATGGTACTTTTTCTTAATATTGATTTGTTTCAAAATCACAACTTTTTAACTGGGTTTGTCTCAACGTTGAAATATTTATTTCTTTGGTTTGAATCAGGTACCATGTTCCTCGTTCTTTCTTGAACTCGGACGGAGACAACACGCTGGTTTTGTTTGAAGAGATTGGAGGAAACCCATCCTTTGTCAATTTCCAGACTGTTAGAGTAGGAAGTGTCTGCGCAAATGTCGACGAGAAGAACGTTCTTGAGCTTTCATGCAATGGAAAACCCATTTCCGCCATCAAATTCGCCAGCTTTGGTAACCCAGGAGGCAAATGTGGATCCTTTGAAAAGGGAACTTGTGAAGCAAGCAAAGATGCAGCAGATATTCTCACTGATGAATGTGTTGGAAAAGAAAAGTGTTCCATTGATGTTTCCGAGGATAAGTTTGGAGCACCAGAATGTGGTGGTGCTACTAGGAGACTCGCCGTCGAAGCTATTTGCTAGATTTCTTTTTTTTTCCAGATTTTAGGTTTTTTTTTATAGATTAATGGTGTTTCTTTTTCATAGTTTTCTAGATTAGGTAGGCTGTGTTTTTCTTTTCAAAGGATTATTTAGGTGCTTTTGATCCTAGGAACTTTTCCACCATTATTAGGTTTAAAATGGGTGGTTTTGTTCAAATAAAAGAACAGCTTCTAATAATTTGGTGGGTTTTTCTTCTCTTATATATCTCGATCAATTTTTCTACAATAAAAGAACAGCTACAAAAAAAATTATGTTGTAGCATGGCTGCTTCGTTATCACTGGAGAACATCTTTGTTTCATGGCCGTAGACTAGATAATATACTCTATGGTTGCAACGGGTTTTGAAGCAGATTTGTTGATCTCCACTTGACAGACGAGAAAGATCGACAAGAAGGTAAGCATTTCCTGATTTCAGTTTAGAGGGATTCTGCTTTTTATTAAAACAAGTCTTAGTTGTTTTCCTAACTTTTGGTTGACTTGGAATTTACGGGATATCTATGCGGCTTTTGCCATATTTATATTCCTAATGTTGAGTTAAGTAGGTCTGTGTATGTGCCACATGCTCAGCTTGGGCAGTACAAACTCAGTGAGTGAAACTGAAGCTACTACGAGACAGGTTAGTGATTGGTCTATACCTTGTTTAAGTACAGTCTCTCTCGAGCTTACTTCATTTGTTTTTTTCTCTGAACATTTTAAAGCCATTTTTTGGACTCAACACTTCCAGGTGAATGTTCAGTTGAGAGACAGTGAAGAGCATAAAGGACTTGAAGAATTTAAAGACCAAGACTGTTCGTAAAATTCAAGTTTAGTTTGTCTTAGTACGTAATAATCATCTTTTGCAGATTAGAGCAAGTCCAGAGATTCAATTGTTTACTTATATTTAATCATTAAACACCCATATATATCAAAGTTTATATTTACTGGAGCAATGTTATTTCGTATCTTATACTCATTTATTGCCACGCTAATAGACTCACAGTAAAATAGTTAGAATCTGACTGGTGTATATAAACTTAAAAACTCAAACTTTTAGAAATATGGAGGAAATAGAGAAGCAAGACTGCAAGAGTGAGAGATTTAATATTGACGCTTAGGGTTTAACATACAAATTACAAAATTAAGAGACTGTTATTACCTCCTCAATCAACGAACTTAACAATATCAAATTAAAAAGATTAAAAATATGTTGACCAAGTCAATGTCAGAGTTTGGAGCAAAACAAAACCCTAATCGTAGGAAGCGAACATCATTGGATCACCAAAAGATGTCGTCTGATTCCATGAAGCATTCCCAAACTGGACAAACTGGGTTTTGTGTCTGCATCATCGGAGGAAGTTGATTGTTACTGTTAATGCAGCTTCCCATGCCATCAAATCCTTGTCCCTCAAGTAATAAATCCGAGTAACCAAAACCCTGATTCCACGAAGCATTCTGATCAAACTGGCTTTGTGTCTGCATCAGAGGAGGAAGTTCAATGTTACCGAACCGTTGTCCCCCAAGTAAAGAATCTGAGTAACCCTGATCAAGATTCTGTGGAATCGCCGGTTGGTGAAAGGTGGAAGGCAATTGGGTAAAAGTACGGTTAACATGGTTATAGAGAAGGATTGAACAGTTGGGAGGATGATTCATCAACGAAGACGAAGACGACTTGGATAAATCAGTTGGGATTGGGAAGCCGGAGTAAACAGCAAGGCTCTGCCTCTGATCTTGTTCCAGATGATTCGCTGATGGCTCTTCAGTCTTCTGTTGATGATTATCGACAATTAGCGAAGGAGATGGTAAAGCCGCACAGGGCTCTCTCTGATGATCATGTGGAGCGGAAAGAAGACGAAGCTTTTCTTGGAATACACGTAAGCGACTTTCCAAGGAAGCCTCCATCTCAAACAATTTGTCTGATAATTTGTTGTCATCGTCATGCTTCTTCCCGTCGCTGATCTTCTTGTTCAGAAACTGAGAAAGGTTTGAGCTTTTCTTGCGCTTCTCTCCTTCGCTTAATTTGCTAAACCTCTCGGCCATATCTCTGACCTTGGTTTGATCCTCCGGCCATGTCTTGATTAGTTCTCCGTCACGGCCGTAGTAGAGTACGCAGAGTTCGACATCGCATAGAGTAGAAAGCTCGAAGGCTTTCTTGAAGAGCGTCTGTTCTCTCATGCACAAATTGTTGTTCTTTTTCGAAGCCGGCATGTTGTTGGATGATTTCTTGAATTGCGTTTGATTCCGCACAGAGAGTTTGCTGTTCTTCGTTGCCCTAGAAGAAAAAGACGAATCCATGATTGTTTTTTCGCACAGATTTTCAGAGAGAAAAGAAACAATTTGAGAGTGAATTGCGAGTAGCTTGAATAAAGGTATGAACAAAAGGTATGGTTGAGGGTGTTATATAGTTATTGAGGATGATGTTGTTTCCTTTTTACTGCTATTTCCTTTTTTTCTACGGCGATTGTTGTCTATGTGCCTTCTTCTTATTCCATTTTTTGCTTTTGTATGATACCGATCGGTATGAGTCCTACTAATCTAGCCGTTAGGATCATCTCTCGATTTCCATTTATTCAACTCACTCAATCTAACCGTTGTAGTAAATTTATTTAACTATTAATTATTATATTCACAGGAAAATTGTACAACTTTGATATACAACAGAACAGAGCTTACTAGTCCAAGAAACAGTGTAATTAACATGCTGATCTCCAGCTGATTTTGCATTTTAACATCATCACCATCGCTCGTGAATCGTTCTCCAAATTTTTGAGTTCATGTAGCATAATCATTTAAGCCAACAGAAACTATATCTGCCTTTGAATAAGTGTCGGTTTTCTTTGGTTTCCGAATAAGCAACAAATAGTGACTTTCTCTTCCGTTTCATCATCAGAGTTCCCAAGAGGCCTTTTCTTGTCTCTCACGGCATTTAAAGAGGAGGATGATTTTCCTCAAGTGTTTTTTTGGAGGAACTGGTTTCAAGAGAAAGTTTTCGAAAAGGTATCTAAAGGCGCCAATAATCTGAAACGAAGAGTGTATAATTTTAAAGTAAAAGTCATGATCTCTAAGACGTAAAAGATGATACAAATGTTCTATAGACACAACAAGAGAAGCTTCAAAATCAAAGGCCGGACGTAAAACATTCACTGATGACTCCAAGATTAAAAGAGAAACCAACAAAAACATAAAAATCTCTCGCAGTGGGACTTACCTCTCTCTTTGTGTGTTTGTAAACTGAAAGTTCCTATTGAGAAGAAACTTAGGTACAACAAAAAGCTGTTCTTAAATCCGAAACATGCTAATCCCCAAACCCCTCAACACATTACCAAATATCAGATGATGATTGATGATGATGGTAATGCAGAGTCAAATTGATAGTTTGGTTGGAGAATGGTTCTTCTAGCCGAGGAGATCTTTGAACAGAGTAGGGTTCTGACTTGTTGGGTTTACACCCATCTGTCTAACAAGAGCGTCTTTCTCTAGAGCTTCCTTCGAGTTTGGTCCTTTCGAGGTTTGAGACTGATACGTGCGTGAGTTTCCTTTGGAGCTATCAGAGAGTTCAGATAAGAGAGAGTCAACGCTTGTTGTGGTTGTAATCACAGGTGCTGCATCCGAGTATAGTCCCATCACATCTGTTGCACCACCGTCTTGGCTCGAAGAATCTAGAAGCCCTTCCAACTCTTTAAAAGGATCCGTCGCTGCAACGGTTGTAGCAGTTGGCTCGCCGAAGTCGAGCAAGTCTGGTGGTGGTGGCTGAACAGGGTCCTTGGGGATGGTTGCTGGTTTGTTAGCTGTTCCTTTTGCTGGCTTGTGACCACCAGAAGATGACTTTCTATCAGTCCTTGATGATGATGATCCACCGAACAAGGATGCAGCGAGTCTCTGTTTCTCGGGGTCAACTTCCGGTTTCTTTGATTCGTAACTGCTTCGAGGCTTTGAGCTAGATGAACCAACTCCTCCTCCATCTGAGTGTGTAGTGGTACCGTTTGCTGCTTGCTGAGGAGTAGAAGAAGCTGATGTGGTCGGTTGATAGCTCGGCCTACCCCATTTTTGCTTAACTCCATCTAGTCGCAGCTTGATTTCTGACGATTCTCGTTCAGACGCCAGAGATGTTGAGATTGGCTGGTGGGACTCGGTGTAGTAAGAAGGCTCGGTTACTGGAACAAGCTCGGTCGAAGCTTCTGGTGGCCCTGATGGCTTTGGAAGTTCATAGGCTTCGAATCGGAGAGCATGAGATGTAACTTCGTGATGATCATTAGAATGGTAATCAGTGGTTTCAAACATCCCTGAGCGTTCCCTCTCAGAAATATAAGGTTGTGCTCCACTCTCGATAGCTTGTTGGATGTAGCCATTGAGGAATGAAAGATCCTTATCAACCTAAAATCAGAAAGAAAAAAAAAAGACCATGAGATTCAAGAAATCCGCGTTAGAAGGGAAGGTAGTGAAGAAGAAAAAGGTTACCTCGATGTCTTCGCAACTAGCATCTAAAGGTATTATACTCTCGACAGCACGGGCATCTAGAGCAATGAGAGCCTGAAGCTCATATGCACGTTGCTGAAGATCTGTTGAATGTGAAGCCAGTAGCTCTTCAATCAAAGATTGGCACTGCATTATAAAACTAGTCAGTCCGTGACAAAGCGGGCCATAGATTGGGTTTTCAACTTCAGATCTGTTTAAAGATACATACCTCTGGCAATACATCGACCTTTCTTCCAGATGCAATTTCAAATGCATAGATCTTCATCAGTGCAGAAACAGCATAACCCTTCAAAAAGAAGAGGAAACCATTGGTAAACATACACGTAGCAACTGGACTGAGTTTGCGGTAACCAGTAACACCATCACTCTCATGACATGCACATTTTAAGTTATACATTTTCAAAAAACGAGTTGGCATGCAATGTGTTAGTCATATTTGCATGGAATTCAGTCATCATAGCTTTGTTTACTGAGCCTTCTATGTCATCATCATGTTTTTCTAATAAAACTAACAAGAGTGGAGATCTAAATGAGAAGTCGACTGTTATAAATTAAGAAGCTACAGCATAAACAACCCTAATTGGCTAGAACACGTAAGCTTGCAAAGGTTTTCTCGGATGATAGTTTAACACTGAGAAAGTACCTTAACAGTTTCATCACTTGAGTATGCGTCTGCCACATCGCACAGCTTTCCGCTAATATAGGAAGCAGAATACTTCCCATCCGCTGTACCGTATTCTCCCAAGACCCAAGAAATGACCTGGAAGTTAAATTCAAAAGTAAGAAGCGTAGATTCGATGTGAAAAATATATGGCAAGTGGAAAGGTCAGAAAACAAAATCTACCTGAAGAAACAGGGATGGAAGCTTTGGCTCGCTAATGATCTTCAAGTATGATTCTACCTGCATCAAGAAAAGCACACTCATAAGCACAACAGAAAAACTTAGTATCTAAACCAACAAAACAAAACCAGGACGTAAGAAAGATGATCCGATTTACTCTATCCTAATTTTAAGATCGAAATTTCATAAATCAACTCATTCCTCTGTTGAAAAGGAGTCCATATATCACGAAAACTAAAACACCACTCTTTGCACATAAAATCAGAATGAACACAAATGGAATGAAATACATACAGCTGATAGTCTAAGCTTGCTGTCTGCATCGTCATCATCCTCTCCAAATCCTTCAGCAATCAAACGCATCAAGTTATGAGCCACTTTAATATTTACCAAATCTCCTGCATGCTCGAAGACTTTATTCATGATCTGCAGTATGGACACATTTAAAATTCCGTCAACCATGACGAGAGTATACAAGTACACAGTGGTTTGCTTGCTACCTGTATGAACCATTGATTACTTGGAGCGAATTGTTCTGCCAACTCAACACAACGAGATGCTATCTCAGTTTTGTAATGATTATCATTGATACTAATCATGTAATCGATCATTCGGTCGACAATCACTTCTACATTAGAGGACTTGGTCATTTTATACAACAATTCAAATGTCTTCCTCTTTAGTGTATCATCTGGATCCTGTCGAACATTAGCAACGAAAAGAACATCAGTCAAGAAAACAAACAATGTGCTAACAAGAAAAACTTGAAAAAAAAAAATCGCTTGCGGCTGCTCACCTCCAAACAATCTATCACAGCAAGTTGGTGCTGCTCAGCAATGTCTGGGCTTATTTTTATCAATCGACCAAGACCATCAATCCCCATGTACTTTAGATTGTGACTATCACTCTGCAAATAGTTCCCATGAGATTTAGATACAATCATAAAGGTTAACAAGAGTAAGCAGCATACATGTCAGGAAGACAAACCTTCAGAAACTTGGAGATAGCTTCAGCAGCAGCTTCTAACAGCTTGGGATTTGGAAGTATACAAGAAATACAGCGAATACACTCATAAAGGATCGCATTTCCTATATTTGTAGAGGAATCGCACTTTCTGAACAAGTCTCCAAGAACCATGTACATCATTTCACTCGCACTCTTATCACCACTACCCAGCAGCGCCATTATCTTCAGCAACTTGATCTAAAACAAAACAAACAAAAATTGTGCAAAGAGCATAAAGTGACAAACTTGATCACCAATTGTAAGAGGTAAGCGAAGAAGATACATATGACACCGAACCTGGATGAAGGGTGCAGGCATTGAATGGTAATCGTAACTCTTTGGCAATCTTCTTTCAGTGACCTGCTTGAGAATGCTGACGAAGCTGCTGACCAAATCCTTGTAGGAAGTAACATCTTCACTTATGAGATCAAACAGTGGGCAAAGCGTAGCACCCATAACTCCCGGATCGTTATCGCATAACCTCTTTCTGAAATTGGAGACCAAATGTGAGACCGAAGAAGGAGACTTCCGGTGAAATCTATGCAGAGCCATGATCGCTTTCTTCCTCACAGCTTCCTTCTGGTGATTAAGCAAGTCCACCACCTGAGGCAAAACCGCCGGAATCGTCTCCTCGTTGATCAGCCTACAGATTGCATTAAGTGCAGCACAAACAACGAGATAGTTATCGGATCTGAGATCTTTCTGGATCGTGTTAACGATGAGGATAATGAGGTCGTGATCCTCGTTGAGAAAGAGCGTGACTGCTAGGTAACCGGTACGCTTGAGGAGCAGATTATCATCATGCGTCATCTTCACGGCGTGAATGTAGCCAAAGGAAGCGTCGTGGCCGAGCATCTCAATGTAAACGAGCCGTATAATGTACTCTTTCATCTTCCTCTTGGGCACATCTGGCTCCAGCAACCTCCGTTTCAGTATGTCGATCTCGCTGAGCACGATCCGATCTTCCTCAGCCTTAGATCGTGCCTCGCCGATTGATTTGACCAGATCGAGAAACTCTTTCGACTGACCAAACCCTCCTTGCGATCCCATCGCCAGCTCTCTTCCAATCGTCTTCAGCTGCTCCATTTTTCTCACTCACTCAAATCAAATCCCTAGCACCAAATTTCAACCAGTGATTCTCTCCTTCTTCAACCGATCGATTATCGACGGAACGGCGATTGGATTAAGGCTTTTCCGATCAGGAATCGGAAAAGAGACCATGCGAAAATTGCTCCTCCTTTATATGCTTGTTCCCGTGACCGTCGGCGATAATTCTGATCCAATGGAGCTTAGATCTGGAAGATGAAAAACGTGATTGAGATTTTAGTAACCAAAGAGAGTCTCGTCTTTGCTTAGCCACCAGGTGGTCCTCGATAGCTAAACCAACACGCGTGTGTATCAATCAAATGTCGCTACAGTATACTTTAGAGCTGTTAAACCGGAATTTCGGTTCAAATCACGAGCTATTGAACCCGAATTCGATTTCGTATTGGTTTGAGTTCTATAGTTTTTCCGGTTTTATCTTGGGAACAAATTAAATGCATGGTGATATATCTTTGGTTTGTTAAATTTAGTAGTATGAAAATTATATGTCGTCTAAAGAAAAAGGTTTAATGCAAGAGACAAATTAAATGCATGATAGTATATCTTTGGTTCGTCAAAATCAAGATAAAAATCATATGTTTGTATAAAAAAGAGTTTTAATGTAAGAGACAAATAATTAAATCCATGATATACTTGGTTTATTGTATTACTAGATTAGGCCCGCGTATACGCGGGTTTATTTTAATTTCCTTTTATAAAAATTGTGAAAGAATATTAAACAAAATTTGATCACTTTTAAAAATAAGTAAAATAATATTAAAAACCCGATAATAAATCTCTAAATAAACTAAGATATGTAATATTTTTACATTTTAATTTTGAATTCATGATATGAAATAGAAAAGCTTACATGTGTCTAAATCTAATGGACTCGTTAATTTATGAAACTTTGATTATTCCATTGCTGAAACCTTTATTCTAAATATTGATGAATTTTTTTAATATTGTTTTATCTAACAAAAAAATGGAAAATTTAACTATTTAATATTAGAAGATTGGTCCATTATAAAACTTTCTTTTTAATATTATTTAGTTCCTTGATAATTATTTTGTTAGTTTTCTATTTATATTGTTTCTTTTTCAATTTTGTGTTTGCCTCTTACCATTATAAATTTTCATTTTCATTATTAATTAGTTGTTTTACAATTATTTTGTTAGTTTATTTATTTATGTTACTACATTTTTCCAATTTTATTGTGTTGACATATGTCATCACCATCAAATATTAGACACATGTAGCGATCTAAAGTTAATTATTCTTCATTGATATCTTGAACTTTTAAAACATGATTTTTTATTTCTTAATGAGAAAGAAACTTAAAAAATATAGCTTGTTATATTTTCCTTTTCGTATTTGGAATATGTTTTTTTATTCCTTATCTTATTGGATGTAACAATTTTTTAATTATTTCTTCATAATTTTCTGATTTTTCGTTTTTTTTCCTTTTCGTAATAGGATTATGTTTCTTCTTTACTTTTCCTAATGGATGTAATATTTTTTCTTTTTAATTGTTTATTTCTTTTTTTCTGATTTTTCCTAATGTACAAATAGGATTTTATTTATTACATTATTTTGAATTTTAATATGTGTTTGGACAATATAAATTTGATGAATTAGAAATTTTTTTCTATTATGATATGAAAAATATGATTTTTCTTCTTTTTACTCTAATAGATATTTTTTTAATTTCGTTGTTATCATAGTAATCACAATGTATGTTCTTTGTGTTATGTTAATTTTGTGCAGTGTCGCGTACGAAGTATATTGCGGGTTATCATCCAGTCGAAGGGCTTTACCAGTTTTTCCTCAAAGACATTAAGGTTGATATTATCATTATACGAAAGATCTACTTCATGTTTCTAATCATCGCCTATATCTAATTATGTACTAAGTCAAATTTGTTTCCTTTTCATATAACAGGACTTGAAGGTGAAAAGTGTGCCAGCGCCAAAACCTACCACCAACACTACTAAGGTAAAAAACTGAAACCTGAGGATCTTAAGCAAAGAGGTGTGTAAATGGGAAAGTTTTTTCAAATGGTTTGTATCTTTCTCAGGATGATGAGAAGAGTACTCCTCCAGGCGGTGAAGCATCATCATCCGCTTCAGCTTCCAAGTGACTCTGTTTCACTGCATATACATCGACTCGTATTACTTCCCTTATACATATAACAAAAAAGTCTAAAGTCTCTCTTTCTCATCTTCGGCTTTCCTTTCATGCTTCTTTCTTTTGTACAGAGCAATGTTCATAACTAGACTCTTACTCTAGTTTCCGGTTGTTTTCAGTTTGTGCATATATGCTGAATTCTTTTGATATCCATGGTGGAGTTTATTGAGTAACATTTTCTTCAAGTTTCTGAAACGATACCTGTTTTGTTAATGAAGCATTATCAGATTCTCTTTTGTTAATGTGTTTCATTGAAGATTCTATCAAGAAGATATGAGTTTTCGTTTTGGAGACTCTTGTTTCTTTGGACCTTGTTCAAAATCTAACTCAGGAACTCATTTAATCATCGTTTCATTTGTTAGTTACTGTTTCTGAAATCTGCTAACTCCGTCAAAATATATAGTTTGGTTAGTGTCTATATCACTCAAGTGATCTAAAAAAGGCAAACGAAAGTAATGCATTATGGCCAGAATTGCTTGCGGGCCAAGAAACGATTTTTAGCCGTTGATTATTTCCTACATTGCTTTCCAGACGGAGGATCTTGATTCTGTTGGGGTTTATTGGCGTTAACGGTGTCGTTTTTAAAAAAGAAGAGTGAGGTGTGACGTCGTTTTCACCTTTAATCAGTTCTGGGAATTAATTAGATGCTCAGTCTCCATCAACTAGAAAAAACTTTCACAATCTCTCTTTACGCCAAAAAAACGTTTCGGTTGGCCTCAAAAGTGGAAAACGCAGATTCATTCTAAACGCGAATTCTCACGCTGGAGTCTTGTTTTAATTGTCAGTTCTAAACATTCCAAAAGCGGAAAAAATAGCATTTGCAAATTTGGAACAGTGATCGACAATCATATTTCACATTCTACTAACCAATCTAAATATTTAATATCTATGACCAAGATTGTTTTTCTAGTTAAGTCTCAGAGTTAAAAAAGCGGCATTTAAATAAAAGGAATATAACTACTACACATTGTTTGTATGAATTTTGTTTTTAGTCTCAACCTGTAATGATGATTTGACGTTGGACGCAAACGCTCCAAGAACCGCGGCCAGTGATGTAACGCACAAAACGCCAGACGCTGCAAACACACCGTCCTTCACAAGGTAACACTCACGGTTTAGCCACCCTTTGCCGTATCTCTGCTCTCGGTTCATGCTTGCACCAATGCTTATCAACGTAACTGCAACAGCAAAACTAATCCTGCAATTAAAGAATTATCACTACTAATTCATTTGTTTTCCTTTCTAGATTTTGATTTGACCTCTTTCTTACCAGGAAAACAACAGAAGACATACACAAAACGGCGTCGTTCCCGTTTTGTTTGTTTTCAAGAAACCTCTACAAATCACAACGTTTCCGATGATTTGAGCAACCGAAACACAAACCAGAGCGGCGGTTCCTAACCCGAAAGCATGATTTTCGGGTAAATAACATGATTCTCCGTCCCATTTCAGATCTTTCCCCTGAAAAAAAAAAAAAAAAAACAATTTACTTTACCAGATTCTTTTGTTCTTAATTAGTATACAATAATGGATAACTTGAGCAACAAGTAATCTGGTAAAACCATTCACCTTAGCCTTCTGAAACTCAGACGCGAGGCAAAGGGAAAACGCGGCGAGACCAAACAAAAATATGAAAACGAAAACGAGAGAGAACAACTCGGGTCGCCTCTTCCGAGTATCTTGTTCTTGAACCTCCATTGATTTGTTCTTAAATCCCCAGTGAGGGTAAAAGAGGCTTACTTACTCCACAATTACGGAGAATAACTATTTGTGAACGAATACATATTTTTTATATACGCGTGTTTTGTAAAAGAGTGGATATGTTCTTTGTTGTTATGGTTGGGTTGTTGGGTTCTTTGCTTGGCTTTTGTGTTAATAAAGTTGGTGCTGTTTTGAATCTTAAGTAGATGAAGAGAAGAAACTTTGGTGGGTCAACCCGTTATGGCCTCATTTTCTTTCTTTTTTTTTAGCATCAAATACTTTCTCATTCATATAAAACAGAGTCTTACACACGAGAAGCAGAGGTGGAGAGATCACACAAGTATCTCTTTGCCATGGCATCAGCGGTGACATTTTCTGAGCGATGAACAAAAGCGAAAGCAATAAAAGAGAAAGAAGCAGCGAAATCATAGCCTCATTTTCTACTTTAAATTTTTTTCTATATCTATATGGTTATAAGTTTTTTTTTTTTTTTTTTTTAAACTCATTCACCAAATATAAAACTGTCTAACCAATCATTGAACCAGCATTCCAATTTTCCAAAGTCATAAATACTACCAAGTACCAATGTCGATAGAAAAGTTAAATTCTTTATTTCTTTCATTAATACGCATGATTATCTCTCGGATCATACGGATCAAATCATGAAATAATAATGATAAGCTTGTTATGAATCGGTCTTGGGAGTACACTTTGGAGTAGTAGTGAGTTTAAAGGGTTTAGTCTTGAGGACAGGATTTTGCTCGAAAAAATTGGCCGGCCGGAGTTCAAAGCCACTGGATAAAGTAGGCATCGTCGGAAAATCCTCTTGGCATGGGACATGGTGGAATCCAACGGTGTACCACATGACTATATCTTTGTTCTCTATTTCTCTATTCCTGTGATTTTATCCACACAAAAGAAAAGATACACATTCTGTTAGAACATTAATTAAAAAAAAAAGTAGCAAATTTTAAATACAGTAGTGATGTAAATTTAAACTACCTTTGAGACCATACGGCTAATGTGTCGTCGCCTTGGCTACGATCGGCGTACAAACCGCTAGTCCAAACCTCGGACTTATTATACGGCGTGATCCACACGTTATAGTTGGTGAATGCTCCCCGTATCTGTGGGTAATCATCTTGGGTCAGTAGTGGGCCTGAAGCCGGCCCAGGAAATAAACGGCT